GACACCGACGCGTTCGTCATCGATGTTTGTGGTCTTGTAACAGCAACGCCTCTTTTGGTTGCACCAACATTTGTGCGGCTAATCCGTTGAGGTCAACGAATCGTGTTAGCGGAGAATTAATGCAAAATCTTCTCTTTCTATAAATCGCATACAGTTATCTAGCAGCTGTTGCACCGAACTGCCATCGTCCTCCTTGAAGTCAGTCAGTCTATCAATGATAGAGCCGAGTGTCCCACCTACCAGTTAGCACTCCTTGCACTGTGTACAGAAAACTCACACTACATACTGGACCAGCGGACAGCGGCTGACTGTCTGACACCACGCCGAGGCCACACCACGCGGCATAGAGTTTTTAAGCATCCGCTGGTCCATGGGCTTCCGTGTAGTTTCCCGGACTTCATCGCGAACAAACATGTCATGTCGGCGTTAAAACCTCAACCTTTTCGATTGTTGAAAGGTCCTGGCAGGACACTACATTAGGCGATGAACAGGCTTAAGACTGCAGCGCCCAATAGCAATTGGCAGGCTGCTGCGAAGCACAGAATCCTGCGTCGCTTTAAGGGCACGACTCCGAGCTTACCGATACCCAAGTCTAGGTCTGCTATCAAGTGGCGGTGAGTCAACTCGACATTCATTTTGCGGGGAGAGAGCTGGACTCCTCCAATCAAAAGCTTAATTGCTTCCACGGGGTGGTCGAGACGCCGGAACACATCTAACCTAAACATGCCCATGTGCACAGTTTTACTGGCAAAAACTTACCGGTATTAGACGGGAGTGCGTTGGAATCTGGACCAACTGCGAGGCTTCCGCACCTGATATGCCATCAGACAGCTCTGACGCTGTCCAAGGTGGTCACGGACAGTGCGGGGTCATTATAACAAAGAACGAGACTATGCGATGGTTCGGAGGACGCTGTAGCGACCGCTTAGCAGCATCTGAGCAACTACTTTGTGGATTTAACGTTATCGCGTTATTCGCAAACGCGAAGAGATTATTCCCACAGGAAGCGTCAAAGAAGTTTGGCAAACAAGTATGCAGCGACTCCGAGCGGTGTCAAAGCGGGTGCTCCACAGGGTTAAGACCAAATTTTGGGAGCACGCCTGCTATTATGTCTGCGACAACTGGCCAGGCAATTAAGAGAGCCGACACCTACGATGACTAGCCCCGTACTACCACCAGACCCTAACGAGGTATTTACGGTGCTAACCAGGCTTACGCTATATCAGACATCCGGCAACCAGTGACAGGTTAAATAGACACGTCTGCTTCTCCATCTTATCTTTGCCTGGGCACCTCACGGTTTCTCACTGACTTCGTCTGCTTGTATGATGTCGCTTGTCCGTCGAGGTGTTGAGCTCAAGAAAAATACCGTAAGTAAGCTCACCGATCTTGAGACCGCAACGCAGCAACAACACGACAGACGGATTTTTAGGGGACACATTGTGACGCCTTTCGACAAGAGAGCAAAACTCGAGCGAACTGGCGATGATTGGGTAGCTCGAAAGCATTTACGTCGTACGTGCTCCTTATAGTCTGAGAGCAGATGTGTGGGTGGCGAACGAGGGATTCATCGCTGGCTTGTATCGGCAAAACGGTCGTCCTCTTGTTCATCTCATGTTTAGCAGATGGTCAAAAAAAACGTGCGGACAGCGTCGAGTTGGTTCTGTTAAGATGGGACAGCGAAAAAAAGAGGGACGTAAAGGACTGGATAGTCCGATTGTCAGCTGTCAGGCGTACACCTGCTTTTGGCGACATGTCTGCGTGTCGACACTTTCGTACCAACCGACATTGCGTCACGTCTCGACGCGATCGATCCAAGGTTTCGTACAAGCAACGTGGGCCATGCACACGTACGTTCTCGCGTCTACTTCCACTTCATGCGGCAGCAAGGACGGAGGTGTTGTTGATGTGAAAGAAGACGCAGCTGCCGAAAATTGAGTGCCAAAGAGTGCACTGTTTTGCACTCATTGATTCCAATCGGGAAGAATGGAAAGAAACGGACAGTCAGCATAGACTTTACACGGTCTGCATCGTTTCAAGGCCAGGTTCGCAATGGTGATGTCGAATGATCCAATGTTGTGATGCCGTGAAGGGTCGATCGTCTAGTTGCTCAACGCATTGCCTGAGCGACGTTAACGTTGCACCCCCGGCGTTCCTTTTTCTGCTCGTGAACGACTTTAAATCTCTGCGTCCGTATTGTCTACTTACCGATGAGACAAAGCTTCAACCGTAGTCGATTCCATTGGATACTATGCGCCTTATATCGTCGCTGAACTCTCGCGTTGACCACCACGAACTACGCAGCACGTCCATCGCGACTCCTCGCAAAGCTGTGAACCGCACATTGTCACATACAGCTGATGTCCTCTATCCAGCATGTAAAGAATGCATGACCCCCTCCTGCTGTAAGGTTAATACAGAAGGATTCCTCCTTCGATTGTAATCTTTTGGCTCCATTTCCCCGTCATACTGCAATAGATTCCACCAGCGGTCGTTTGACTTCCTATGTTAAGTAAAAATCGTGCTACCATATGCCAGCGAATTCGACTGGGGTGCGTGCAGAACGCAAGGGTGGGAAAGGCCGACCACATAACTCTATGGACAACCCTGTATGGACCACATTCACGCGTGGCATGCAGCCCAAGTACTAGATGGGAACGGACAGTAAGCATAATCTTTGAGGCAAGTTCGCAACAGGCGAGCGATACGTGCGGTCGTGAACGATTAGCAGCTCGAAGACGGACACAAAAGAGCGCCGGAACGACTTTGGGCCCTGGCGAAGGGGACGCGTTGAACATCTCCAACTGAACGACCACCTGTGTCCAACTCTATGTCCAACTACACAAATACATTAAATCAGTTGTTTTTGGGTTGTAATTTGTGCTCGTCTTTACAGATGGCTAAACGACAGCGGTACATAGCACCGCGTATTGCGATCAATACAAACGTTTCATAATCTAAAGACGACAGTCCTCTCCCCCACACCATTGCCAAACGTTACGCCTTGGCGTTTGGTAGCATACATCAACAACTTCCGAGCCAAATTCCTGCACTGACGTAAGACAAATTCGAGCCAAGGTGCTACACTGACGTAAGGCAGGTTCGAGCCAAGGGGATGCAAAGCTTACTGTTTACCTTCATTTGATCCTTTCGCGATTTGTAAAGCTACTGGTTTCTGATTTCTGGATGGAAAATCGTCAGCAAGGCAAACACTGCTCGATTACGTATCCCCAGCAGTCCGTGCTCAATGGCAAGACGCGAACTGACCTTTCGAATATAAGTAGAAAGTCAATACTATGTGTGGCCACTACTGGAGCGAAGGACAGTAGCAAAATTGAAGGGCGCGGTAGGAAATTAACTCAGACTTAAGAATTGTTTACGTTGATCATGAGAACGACAGCTATTTCGAGTCTAACTATTAGGAAAGTGAAGTGCAAGACTTCTTTGACTCCGATCGAGCGATAATTGCAGACACACCTAATTTAGCTGGTATGTACACAGAGAGGAAAGCGAAACCGGACACTTAGCCTCCCACGAATCGCCTCTCAAACAGCTCGAAAGAGTGGCCGACAAGCTGCACAAACCTTTTGGAGGACACACTTTGATACGTCGCGACGCGGCTTCTAAAGCTCTTTTTGAGGAAGGTGGTCATTGAGGCTTCTTGCCTAAGATTGAGAAGCAACATAGTCACAACAGAGAGATGGATGAAGTCAGCACCCGTACAGGAAAGTTGTTTTGGAAGACTTGGTATATTATCTGTGGCAATGATGGATCCGGCAGCAAGGATCGCGTCATTAAAAGAAACACCCGGAGTCGTTTAACAGGTTGTAAATAGTCATGCCGTACCGACCTATGCGGAATCGCGAACACGTACACTACTATATTTTTGCAACCTAGCACTCTTCATGACGTAGGTTCATCAGCAGCTTGAGCGCGACGGCGTATCCACGCTTGTTTCTCAGTCATCCTGTCAAACACGATACATATATACTCAACATTAGTGTGTAGTTGCATATTATCACCGTTTGTTGAGACATGTGCGTCGGAAAGAATCACAAGACTGTCATGCCGAGCGAAATAGTCTATCACTATCCTTTATTTCTTGTTTTGTGATCGCCTTCTAGAGCCTGGCGTTGTCCACTGACCCCCGTACATCAACGAAACCGGTGACGCAGTAGTGTGCAAAACCAATACGATTTAAATCTTGTTCTGCCAGCAGGTGTGCTCAGTCGCGGTAGAGCTCGTCAACTCTAACATATTGCCCTGAAGTTGCGGAAGAATTGATTACCTACATGTCAGAGCCCAATTTAGTATGCCGTAGGCGGATCACGGTCCTACCTTATCCCGATAATTTCGTTTTCGCAGGTCCGCGTACATTCATAGGAATGCAGTTGCGGCGGGAGGTGACACATTGAATGTAAGGATCGGCTGTTTGAGGGCTAGTTCGCCTCCTATTGAATCGGCGGGGACCCGGGCAGTTTCGTGTTGTCCCTATAAGTTTGTTTGTGTTCTTTGAGCTTCTCTTAGCGTAAATTCGGTCCTATGTTCCGCTGTCGTTTTGCCATCTGTCAAGACGATCACAGAGTACGGCCCCAAACAACTGATCGAATGTACTTGTGTAGTTGGACATAGAGTTGGACACAGGTGGTCGTTCAGTTGGAGATGTTTAACGCGTCCTCTGGCTGTTTGCCTCCTGTGGCATAGCGCAGCGGGGAATAGACCTTTACCATTTCTTGAAGCTTCACGATTAGACACTTCCTGTCCAGGGCCAGGGGGTTGGTAGAAATGATGCTCTTGGATTACCAAAACGATAGGCCTTGTCGGTAAAGTGACGTTTAGCGGTGACAAACGTGTCGCCGACGTTTCGCACGCTGCTGCCGACTACGAAAGTGTACACATGCCGTCGGACTCCCGAGAATGTGAGCGGGTAAATCAATTAGCGCCGCATTCCACAAGTGTCTTGCGCACGTCACAAGGCATCAACTCGCGACGACGGCACTATGGTCTCCATTCGTGCAGCTATGCTAACTTCTGCAATGCTGATAGTCAGTGCGGCGCTCCGCGAGACTTCGGCTGAAGATTCCTGGAGTGAGATGATTCAGGACGATACTGGCGGCCAAAATTCATCGGACACTCCAAGTTGGGGCAGTGGCGAAGATGGCGGTGGCGACAAGAAACAGGGCGGCGTCGATAAGAACGGCAGCGGCGGTGGTGGCAAAGAGGGGTTCAGTGATCTCGAAGCCAGCACACCATCAACTGGTGGAGGGAGCAGCAAACCGTCTGCCGGTGGAGGAAAAGTGCCCGATGGGACGTGGCCCAAGAGCACGGGAACTGTTCAGCTCAAGGCACCGCAAGTCATCAAGGCTGGCGAGGACTTTGATGGAAAGATGCAGACGTTCGAGCGATCGGATGTCACGTGCCAGGGACAGAAGGAGAGCGGATCGGACACCGCTGTTTTCCTTGTCGAAGCTGGTGCCACGCTCCGAAATGTCATCATCGGCAAGAACCAAATGGAGGGTGTTCATTGCGTTGAACATGACTGCGTGATTGTCAACGTTTGGTGGGATGACGTCTGCGAGGATGCGCTCACTATCAAAGGTGGCACCGCGTCCAGTGTTTCGATGGTCATCGGTGGAGGCGCTCGGCTGGCCGATGACAAGGTCGTCCAGCATAACGGCCCCGGTACTGTCAAGATTGACGGTTTTTACGCAAAAGACGTTGCCAAGCTCTACTGTTCCTGTGGTACGTGCGGTGACATTGCGCGAAAGGTGGAAGTCACAAACGTGTATGTCGAGGATCTACAAGATACTGTGGTGACGGTGAACAAGAACTACAAGGACGAGGCCAAGCTGAGCGACATCTGGGTCACCTCTACCAAAGACAAGCCGAGCATTTGCCAGTGGTGGGAGGGCAATGCCGACGGCGAGCCTACAAAATTGGGTAACGGATCGACGCCACCACTCTGTCAGTACTCGGAGAGCGACGTGCAAATCAACAAAGGCGCACCTTCTGTTGGAAGATCGAAATCGAGCAAAGGCTCATCACCGTCTGCATCGTCGGGTGGTGACAGTGTTGAGCAAGAAGCTGGCGTCGTGTCCCCAGGTGGCGGCGACGGCGAAGACAACAAGAGTAAGGAAGGAGATGATGAAGGTGAAGACAAGGGAGACGAGAAGAAGGACAAGAAAGATGACAAGAAAGAGGGCGAAGAGTAAGTCGTCGCTGGAGCGTCAACATGGGGCGGCACGGGAGGCGGCTTTTCTCCCGACGACGGGACCGATCATTTCACAAAGGATCCGCCACCAACGTCAGCATCAAAGTGCAACATCCGTCGCAGGAGGAACTAGAGGAGTGGAGGCACGCTGGAAGATTGGCCCCAAGTCGTTGGTAACTTCGTGGCCGTTTCTTCCAGCAGTATTTGTGTTGTTCATGTTTTACAAAGGAGTTGTGTTTTGATGGAATCAATCGATATAATGAGTAAATTCGAAGATACTGCGTTACGCACAATAGCTTGAAAGTCTCACGTGACATGTGTATATTTGCCTTTTCATCGAGACCTCGCTGAATGAAAATCAGTGCTGAGTTGAACACTAACGACAAGTTGCCGCGGCATACGCAAGGTGGACTCGTATTCGCATACAACGAAGCAGAGAAACAAAGGGACCTTGTCACATTATTACGATCGTGGAGGACACAGCAGATAATAAGTGTGCGAAAGCTGTTTATCGAACTACACGGCAGCTACATTCTGAGGGTGCCTGTAGGTCACGCAGAGTGTACTCCACACGTCACGTTAGGTACGATACAGGTGGGCCTCTTGTTGTAATCACAAATACATTCGTTGTGTCGCTTCGTCGCCAGGTCACTCATTCCGGCCGCTTAAGAATCTCTTCGTCACACACACGCAAGTAATTCATCCACAAGCAGAAGCGAAGAATAGTGCAAAAAAGCGCATGCTTGACGAAATCGCGGAGAAGTCGCGATCCAGAAACTGCCACTCAATCGTCCACTTCCCATTGCGCCCGGACTTGCCGACTTTCGGAGGGAATACTCGAATTCGTTTGTTGTTGTATAATCTTCTGCTCACGACATGTACTCGTAGGATAGGGTGGGTTTCATCTTTGTGCTAACGTTAGAGAAAGTCGATCCCACTTGGGGTCAAGGCTTGGAGTTTGGTCGATTGCTACGGGAATATTCGTAAAGCGGCCCAGTTAAGTGTCGATCTTGACCCAATCTCGACGATTGATCTTCGTCTGAGATCTCCCGATCTGTCCTGCAAGTACTTTTTTGTAGGATCTCGATCGAATTGAATCCTCCTTTTGACCACTTGACCGCACTTGCACTTGTTCGTGTCAGAGGTAGCCGGATCGTTCCATCGATCGTGGCTGTCCTGTCCTACGTGTAACTTGCGACGTCTTATCGCAGCTGGGTAGAGTCTTAAGCTGACGTCATCCGCCCCTGTTCAACCAATACGGCGTGCGCTACTTGCAGCGAGGTTCGGTCGACGTTCTTGGATGTCGGGACGCCAAAGATCCTGCACGGAAGAGAAGCCTTCGTCGCACGCGACCAGTAAATTCGAAGCCCTCAATGCTCAGTGGTCGAGCAAATAACCCGAGTGGTTGATAGCGACCCCAGGTCATAATCAAGAGATTACAATATCTGAAGACGCTTAGTATCCTGAAACATGTTGGGAGGCCAATACAGGGTCCAACCCGGCAAGATGTACATTTGTGTTGCGCAGATCGATCGAAGTCGAATTTCTAAATCATCTCATTACCGAGCGCATTAAAACTTCTTAACATTTGAAATTTTTTCAACGATCCAGGTCTTATGCGACGAAGACGCGCGGCATCATTAAACACCAGGAGGACAATAAACGTTCCTGTCTGGATATGGTTGCCCGGCCTCGCGTTCAGATGAATGCAAGCCGGTAGGTCTCTACCGTCCGAACAGATCGATATCTGACTTATCAGTATGCTTCTGCTATCTTGTGGAATATTCTTCGAGTCACATCAACTATTTGCAGGATTGCTCCCTTGACTACTTGTCAAAACTTCGTAGCGTGTACCCAAATAAAAGCGCCGCATCCGAAGCATTATCCATATGCTTCAAGATTGCGTAAATGTGCGACCTTTGGGTATATATCCAAAATTGTGGATACATTCGAACATTGGATCACCTACCACTATTGTGTCTCGTGTGTTCAAAAAGTCAACTCCCTCGAGTAAATTCGAACAATTCTATCTGGCGCTTTGGGTCTAAACTTTGATATCATTGTCTCAAACCGATATTTAAGTACTTCCATGCCAGTTACCATCTTTGGCATATTAGGTTGCTTTTCCGGTAACCGGTGGCACAGATCTCGAATATATAGTCGACGCATTTATCGTCATTTCGACATTCATCGACAACCTGTTCACAACATGGCGATGTTGATCATCTTAAGCCTCAAATGAGGTATTTTTCTTTACTTCGTATTATCTTGATTATGGACCTGAGCTTTGAAGAGGCATTCATCTACTCGTGAACTCAGATCGGAGTCCACGCAACGAAGGTTGACTCATCTGAGTGGAGGTTGTGACATAGTTGTATTGTCTCCCAGCTTGAAAATGCGTCAGGTTTGCGACGTTGGTGGATGGACTATCGGTCTACGTCTTCATGACTCACCGAAAACATATTTTTCGCCCAATATCCGGGACGATAAGATCAATAATCTCGCTCAAAATTAGCCATATATATTCCAATCATTTCAGAAGCTGAACTATTGTGTACGCCACGCCGTTATAATTCATAATTCATCAACTCATCGCATCGGTATACATGTTTTGCTATTTGTATACTTGAGTGCGTTTATTCTATTTATTTTTCTGCACCAGGTCGGTACAAGGTCCCAGAATGCCGCAGGTGCACTTTGGTGCAATCTACCGTCATAGGATTAATCGTCCATTTCATTTCACAATTTTACAAACAATGGCATTATTCTTTTGTCCGCACTTGATGGACGCCATTGCTCGTCAGAGTTTTGCATCGTTACTTTGCCACAACAGCGCCATGCCACGTTCGTCCTGCATTTAATCCTTTGCCGCAAATTTGTGTACTCCAAGAGATCAAGGGTAAGGTGCACGCATCTCCAGTGAGAGACTCTGCCTTAAGTGTGTGCGAATTGTCGATAAATACCTACTCAGACATGAACGAGGATTGAAATAAAGATGGTCAAATTAATCTATCGGTCGATGGTTTAGTGGCATAGCATCTCCTTTATCTTTACGTGCAGGCCAAAATAAAATTTCGAAATGGGTGGGGTGATCAAAAGCCGCTTACTCGAACGTAGTACATAGTCGTAGAGAGCGGTAAAATAAAAATGGTATGATCTGTCTACCAATTATGTTTCGACCTTCTGTCCCGCACATATAGCCACGATATATGTCGCTAGCTACATTGGAGACGTCACCATTAGTTACGCAGTCTCGAAGTCTTTATATATCGGCGACACTAAGTAAGAAAACTAGTCACAAAACGAAAGCCTTAATCGTATCTGCGTTTGACTCAATTATCTGTATCACTTCCTGAGGCATATAAAGCGCGTCATCAGAAGAGCTAGCGATCACTTCCTTCATGGTACGCTAATCATTACGAGTGCACGGTAGCTCATTAGGACTTGTCGGTTGTGCGCCATACAAATGCGTGGGTAGAGCGGCCGTAATTGTGTAGATTGTCATGGAGCATTGATCCGTATTTTGGATACTAATACCTCGCCTTACAACTGATATAATGAATGGATGTCAATGTAATTTTACTGGTTATCAGCTGTACTGTCAATGTCCATCGACCCCCGACTCGTCGCACGCGCGACAATAATGGTCGGAGCACGTATACGACAAAGTCCCTTCATGCGTCGCCACCGTTCTTGTTTGGCGGACCGCCAAATGTCCAGGTTGATCACGCGCACACGCCATTGACTGCTTCCCGCTAGGAAATTACCCCGTCTTCCTATCGTCACGGCACAAGGCATCAGCGATATAGTGTTCGATTGCGTTCACGAATTTAGGAATTTTGATACTTTACTTGAGACATCAACTCCGTAACAAGGTGGCGGCCACACACATAAACAAGGATTTCGAACCTGTCCCAATCATTTTTTTCTGATCCGCGACACGAACTCTAGTACCGGCATAATCAGATAAAAAGCCAAACTCAACGTTTTCATTGCTCATGTCTAGTCCAGATGCTCGTCGCATACTAACCACTTGTCTAGCTGACAGCTAGCGTGCTGACCGCTGGAAAGCGAGTAGAGTAGAATTTAGTTTAAGGCTAGTACTTCAGCTTGCAATCTCATTGTCTCCTAGCAGCAACATATATCGTCCATAAACGTCTCCACGAGCGAACAATTATACAGCAGCAGTTGCAGCGATTGTAAGTCGTAAGCCTTCGGCATATTTAAGTAAAAGCGATTCATGATCGCATTGGAGGTCCAATTTCAGTATCTGGAGAGAAGAACGGATGTGGAAACGTAGCGCGAAGCTTAGGTAACTGTACGAGTAGGCCTTCTCAAGTACTCGGGTCCGACGGGGTGTATCAATCGCTATCACGTGCAGTATTAGGTTGAATTTTCTGATACTGTCACGCAAGTCTGACTCCAATCAGTCCCGCGATATGACAGAGGTGTCCTGATAGAGCTGTAAGGCCGAAGGGGTTCACTACCTTTCTTTTGGTCAATCCACTCCAACTTCCTATCTATATTGCCGAATATCAATGCGCGAATCGCCGACCTAAAATGCGGTTGCAATCCCTATGATTGTAAAATTGATCATTCTCAAATTGTCTCTGTTTAAATGGGAGGTATATAATATCTTTAATAAAGTTGCGCGAGACGCACCGTATTATCTCGATACATTTTGTTGCAAAGAATTTGTTATAGGAAGGTGCGCATCCTTCGTGATGGTACGGTGACACCTACATATTGGGTAGATATATTAACCGCAGCATGCAATCCGTTATAAACGCAGAGTGAGAATGATCATCTCGTTTCGGTTACAATCCCTCTCTCGTATTGACAGGGTAAAAAGAATAAGGTATGCTCATTTTATAAGATGGAGCGCGCAAATTTAGTGCTGTGCAAATTAGCATATATTTTGCTATCGTATCAAGATGCTGAGCAGTCGATATCAGAATCTTTGTCAACCCTCGTCGATAGACAGTGAAGTGTCGACACCCGAAACGTGCTTATGCATTGGAATGCATCAGGATCAGAAATTGCGCGATGTCACCGCTTTGCAGACTCGGTAAAATGTATCCAAACAAGTAGATTGAAAATTAGAGAACTAATCGGTTGACATTGTTCGGCAAC